GGCCCCCCAGCCGTGCGGTGGGGGCACGGTGTGGCCCATCCCCTACTCACAGCTGGAGGATGCAATGGGCGGCCGTCAGCACCCACTGCTTGTGCACCAGCGCTCCCCCGCACGTGTGAATGCCCCCAAACTGGATGGACACCATGTAGGGCCTGGAGTGAGGTTCAGCCTCGTGTCCCCCGATGATCGAAGGCTGGAACCAGCCCCGGGCTGCTGGGGAAAGAAGGGCCCGCCCAGGTGCTGCTGCAGCCCGGAGGCAAGGGAAGGGCCCAAGGGAGGGCGACCCAGCCAGCAGCCCCCACCACACTAAGCAAGCGGATCGCTGCGCACCCGCAAGCCTGCCCCAAATCCCCAAGGGCAGCGATGCCGAGACCCCCCGCCGACTGCCCCTGCTCACCTGGCCCAGCCAAAGAGGGGATCAGCAGTGCGAGGAGCACCACCAGCCTCCTCTTCACCTCCATGCTGCTTCCACCCCAAGCAAGCACCCGGCTGTGCCGCGCAGCTCAGCACGCGTCCCGCTCTGCACAAGTGGTGCGGTGCTCTCACACTCGGAGTCCAAACCACATGTGAGAGCAGAGCACGGTTACACAGGGGCAGATACATGCCGTGCAGGAAGGGGGAAGATGCATCCGCAAGTGCAGCAAACATCTGTGAGCATGATAAAACCACTCACAGAGCAAAACAGCCCAAACCTGCCCGCAGCAACAGGTAGCTCAGACCTGCCCTCAGCCCCCTGGAGCCTGCGTGCTATTTCACAGCCCTAGCCCACCCGAGACACTCCAAAGCCACCCCAACAGCCACATCCCCATCATCTCTGTTCATCCAGGCCAGAGGCAGATCATTTCTGTCATTGCCAAGAGCAAGGGCTGGAGCACAAGCGGGCGCTTTAGGGGACAGACTCAAGCACGTCCCACCACGCTCAGCAGCCTGGGTATTCCCCAGGGTTTTACTTTGCAAAACAACATACCCCAAGTGAGCTCTGGGCACAAGCTGGTGGGCAGAGATGGGGCTGGGATCCCTTATCCTCAGCTCAGCAGCCGAAGCAAGGGCATGGGGATGGGGAGGATGAGCTCAGGACCTGGCAGAGCCAGGCAGCAGCTCTCAGCAGCACCCAGCTGCACTCACCAGCACCTCAGAGCTTGCAGGAACAGCTGCATCCTCTATTCTCCAAGAGGGGCTTCAAGCAAGAACTTCTTACACAGTGAGATTTGTGACAGTCACAGCAGTCACAGACCCAGGCTTCGACATGCCACAGGGAGAGCACACTGGAGTGACACGTTCCCACCACCAACATCTTTATTAGCAGATAACACAACTCCACTCCCACCGCTGCTGCTGCCGTCACTGTGGGAACGGCCAAGCAAAGCCCAGGCACGGAACAGGCCTCAAAACCCAACACCGACCTCCAGCCCCCAACTCCTGCTTTGGCAAGGAACCACCAGCCCATCACTGTCCCCGGCCACACGTAGCTCTCTCAGCTCTTTGCTTGGGCTGCTCTGGAGGAACACGCACACCGTGTTTTCCTTGCCCCTGGCTGAGGTTTTCTCAGGCTGTCCACAAGCCTCTTGTGGAAGAAGACATTTTCATATTCCAGTTCATTAAGGTGCTGTAGAAACATGGGCACTTCATCTTTCTTTATGCCCACACAAACAGGGATGATCTTAGTCCCACTCTCATGAATGCTGTGATGCAGGTTCCACTCAGAGACACGCTGGCACCAAGGGTCACCCAGGGACCTGGCGGACAGGAGGAGGATGGCAACTCGGCTGGCCTGAATGACCTTGGTGGCTGTCAGGACGATGGACGTCCCCGCCACTTGGTCCTGATGCTCTGCATAGCCCTGAAACCCCTCTCGCTTCAAGGCTGCCAAGATGTCTGAGGCGATGCTGTCGTCCTCAGGGCAGTACCAGATGGAGAAGTCATAGGTGAACCGGTGGTGCGAGGACGCAGACATGCCACTTACCAAAGGGCAATGGCACTGAGTTCACAGAAACAACAAAGCAAACAAGCTCCGAGCGTGGCCTCCTGCACCCGGGCTGAGCCAGTCTTCCTGCTAGGAACCTGCTACTGCGTCCTCATGACGGATCCAAGGGCCAGCTCCCAGGATCCCTCCCTGGCATGAGCAGCGAGATCACTACCACTCCCCGGGGAGAGGTCAGGCTGCCAACGCGGCACAGCCCTTAGCTTCAGAAACGATTCTGTGGCCCCTCGCAGGCCCGATGAGGCAAGACAAGCCAGCGAAGCCGCATTCGCACAGCCTGCAGGGCCTCTGGGGTCACAGGGAAGAAGCAGCAATGTCAGTTCTAGTAAATCAAACACAAATGATGCTGCTTCTGTAGTAGCTTTCAGTGACTTAGGAATATGCAAACACAGTCTCAAGGGACGCCCTCAGGGCGCCTGTTGCAGGCTGGCCCACACCAAAGCCCTCTGCGATGAGAGCAGAGGAGTCTCGAGTGCCAAGGACCTGCGTTAGCTTTTCAAATCAAGTATGAGTCCGTGCTCCCAGCTGCCTCAGCTGTTCAAGGGAGGCGAGGGGTCTCAGAAAGCTTTTTGCCTCATTTCCAAGATATCCTGCTCCAAAGTCGCTCCCACCCGTCTCAGCTCCTCACATTTCTCCTTCAGCAGCTGGCAGGACTCCTGCAGCTGCTGGTTCATCTCAACGTAGGAACGGCTCTGCCGATACAAGCGCTCTCTTTCATCGGCAGCGTCCTCATGCTTCACGGGTGCGGGGAAATCTGGCAGGGTGGGAGAGGCGGCTCAGCGGATGCCGGCAGAGCGCCCCGTCCCTCTCGCCCCCGTCGCGCCCCACGGCCCTGACGGCCGCAGAGCAGACAGGTTTCTGCCGAGCCCGGGAGGACTCGTGGCGGGGCCCCGCGGGGTCAACCTGGGGGGGGGC